GGGTGCATGTGCCCCTGCTCTGCTTGGAGGTCCCCCTCCATCGGTGTCTCAGGGTCACAGGCCAGGTGGGGGCCTTGAGAGGCCTCTGCTGAGGGCTGTGGGGCAGAGAAGCCTGGACAGGGGTGGCACTGGGGCTGGCGGGCAGCCGCTACCAAGGCAGGGAGGGACCTGGTGGTCAGGAGCCCCCCCTTCTCCGGCACCATCCCTGGGGTAGAAGGACACTGCCCTGAGCTCGTTCTGTCCGTGATTCCAATGGCAGCGCCATCTCTCATACAGCTCAGGTTGTGCTCAGCTTCACAATAAGAACTGGGGGACCATTTCAGGTCATCTTCATGGGCCTCCCCGGGGGCGGGAGGGGTTACAGGCTGCGCTCTCCAGCCCTGGCAGCCCCTGCAGCATGAGTTCCACCCGCCACCACCAGGAGCAGCCCACAGGGCACAGCAGACCTCCCCGGTCTCCCTGCTGCCCCCCTCAGCTGTGGATTTCATTCATCCGCAAGTCTGCTCCCCACTCTGTCTCTGGTGAATCCTCTCACACTCCCGCACCTCTGGCCTGTACCCCAGTTCTTGTATGCATACATAAATTAAAAAAGAAGGAAATGTGTAACTAAAGAAGCGTTTTACAGTTACAGGTGACCAGTCTCTCAGGTAGGAATGAAGGAGTTGGTCTCCCCCATCTCTTGCAATTCCCCCCTTGTTTGACAGGTCTGTTTCTCCCATTCCAAGGAGCTGAGAAAAGCAGCCTGGAGCTCACCCATCTCGTGCAGACCCCTTCCCCTTCCCTCCTTCAGCTTCCCTTTATATTCCCTTTGCATAAAGACCCCTGCCCTCTGCCCAAGCGTAGGACGGCAGTCTGTCAGACAAGAGTCTGCTGCCCTCCTCGTTTGTCCAGATTCAACCACTTTCCTTTCTCCCAAACTCGGTTTCCTTTCTTGGCTGAGGGAAACTGAGGCCGGCGTTTGGTAACAATGGTGCAGGCCAGAGCCAGGAGCTGGATGCCACTTGGGC